GCCTGTGGAATTTTCCCACCAACTCCACCGCTGTCATTGATTTTTAAAGTATTATTAAAGTTTTAGTTAATCAAACTTTTAAAAGATCACCTTCTATAACAGGGGCGGTCAGTCCAGATAATATTGCGGTCTACTTCGACAAGAAATTATAATTCCGCGTGCCGCACATAAAATTATGTATCTCCATATTATATTTAGACCCACTAGGTATAGCCTTTTTTTGTGAAGCAAAAAATTTAAACATAATGAATTACTAGATTTTTTCCTAAGGAACACTTAAATCTTCTTCGATAAAAATTAAAAAGCCGATATTTTAGGAAATAACGGTCGAATATTTTCTATTTGTGGTTTTCTTAGAATGATAGAACGAGGAATAATAACTAATGTAATTTTCAACTTTTAATAAACAACATACACTAAAACTAACACCGAAGGAACACTTAAATCTTCTTCGATAAAAATTAAAAAGCCGATATTTTAGGAAATAACGGTCGAATATTTTCTATTTGTGGTTTTCTTAGAATGATAGAACGAGGAATAATAACTAATGTAATTTTCAACTTTTAATAAACAACATACACTAAAACTAACACCGAAAAAATACTTAAAGATAAACTACAACGAATGAACTAAAAAGATGATTGATGCTTGAACTTAATGCTTGAACGTAATGGGCTTATTACATAGAAAAAATGCTTAAATATACAACAAAATATAGGGGGTAGAGGTAAGTTAGTTGGGTGTTTTTGACCTTAAGCTATGGTTAGTGATTATGTGACTACAATCACAAAATTGTTTGTGGATGGGAAGATCATCGACCCATCTGGTGACAAACGCGAAGGGACGTTACCTGCCGAGGAAAAACCTACATAATATGATAATAAAGTTCCTTTGCTGCAGGCACGTATTTCCAAGTTTATGAATTGCGCTCCAACAGATGCTTTTACTAACAAATTTGATACTGAATACCTTCAAATATAGGTTTACGTCAGCGAATATTTGAAGCATATTTTAAACAATCGCGATTACGGAGTAAAACAGATTTTTCGGTTTTGTATGATAAAAATTAAAAAACGCAGTCGCGCGCTTACAACGTAAGAAATAACTTCTGTAAAGTGTGTACTACATGCCGTTGTACTGTATTTAATTTTCAAAATGCACTGATCTTCCTTACAAGTCGGTGCTCAAAAACTGTTGAGTTTGTTGCGCGAGAAATATCAGGTTATCGGCGGACAATGGACACTACATTCAATAATTTCGAACTGCCTAATTTTCAAGAAATATACTGAAACCTATTAAGACGGGAACACGTTTACCCCTTGATCATACACAGGATGCCGTCGTGTTCGCGGATACTGATTTTTCGGGACACTATTTTTAAGGCCCGGTGGATATGTATGTTTACGTGTGTCTTGAAGTCCATTTCGTTGCGAGACGCGTTTGGACGATGATAATTTGCACTGATAACGGCATTAACTTGGTTGGTGCAGATAATACTTTCGGAAAAATTAAACGAAATGTTATTTTGAGTTACGCTTTTATTGAACGAATCAAATGGATATTTAACCAACCCACGGCTGAGTGGTGGGGCGGTGTTTGGTAAAAAGTGCCTCGAACTTACGTAGTGTTTTGAGTCGTGCAACACTCTGCTTTGATGGCCTGTTGATCCTCATCTGTGAGTGTGAAACCATTATTAATTCCAGGTCACTTACCTATTCATTCAGGGATCCTTCAGAGTTGATAGCATTAATACTTGAAATGTTTTTGCAGCGATAGGTAGCTGCAGGAATGTCGGACTGCTCCTTGAATGTGTAACCACCACAAGGCAATCAGGGGGCGATAGATACTGTTTCAAGGTCCAAACGAATGATGCGAAATTTGAATTAGTTCCTACCTGTGAATGTGCGGTAGTGACCGTTACCTTCGTAACTAATAAGGTCAAACTGCTGTGTAGCAGTAGTCTGTGACGTTAGCACATTTTTCTTAGAATGCTCTTCATAGACAACAAATGCATTTGCTGCTTAGTTGATGAACCATGAAGCAACTTACATTTTATGAATTGTGCGAAATAAAATGAGAACACCTTTTTAACCCGAACACAAAACAATTTATTTTAACTTTTGATGATTATACAAAAGAAAGCAGGAACGACCGGACAAAGGTTTTAGCACGTGTCGGCACTATGGCGGCAAACGGGAGAATTATAAATTCAACATAGTCTCTCTCATCACTCACGTAGTAATCGAAATTTATACCTTCTGGTAAATTTCGAATTTTAATACAATTAATTACACCACTTGTAAAGAACATTAAAGTGAAACTATACATATTCCCATCCCATAAAATCAAACGATACGTTTTATCACACTCTTATACTTACGTGGCAATTTCTGACGACCATCAATGGTACCTACAAATCTCAAGTTTGTAAATAAGTATTCGTCAAGAAAACCTCACATTACTTCAAACCGCACGACTTCAAGATGTGAGAAAGTCTATGCGTTGTCTACCCAATTTACTTCTGATGAAAAATTTATACTTTTAAAGCTACAGAGGAACCAATTCATCAAGTCAATGCTTTCACATGACTGGTAGCATCTAAAAACCCGTTAAACTTAACTTATAAATGTAAAGGATAACCAATCAAAAAATCAACAATTTAAGAGACGTCCTTAAAATGACCGAAGAATGAATGTGTTATTTCGATAACAACGAGCAACAAGCAAAATAAAATAGTTAATGTTACGGTAGTTACTGCATAAATACTTCAAAATAGCTGCAAACAAATAATGCGTGCTCTAGACCAGATGTAAGATGATTCCATTGATCTCAGCTATCTGAAAAGAGAGAACCTTCCGCTTCTACAAAGCAAACTATCTAACCTCCAACAAAAAATTAAGGAAGAATCAACTAGAGTTTTCACTACTGTCCGCTCCCAATGGTGTTTTTTACTGCCAACAACTTTATTTGGAACTGCAGTAACTATTTCCTATTGCTATCCAAAATCCCTTAAATTCGTATGGTCAAGAATAAACTGTCAATCGAGTAGAAATGAAGAACAAACTTTACCGACTTTTGTAAATACCCCTAAATTGGAAATAATTTTCATGGAAAATTTAACAACGGACGAAAAAATAAGACCAAAATTACTACGAATATTCATGTCACCCACCATTCCGGATACAAAGTGATAGGAAAAATTTATAATTAAAAAATACATTTTTCTCTTAATGGGGAAGGTGTTAGTACTTTACGAGACGGGAGTCCCGGTGGATTACAAGAGGAACGTGGTAATAAACAAACCTAAAATGAGAGGCGCGAATAGGTGCGAGACATTTAGCACAATAAGTTACAAAGATAGAAGAGTGATGCTTAGTGTGTATAAAGGGCTACAGGCAGTTATAGAGCTGGAACAACAACATAGAGAAGTAAATATTAGGAAGAAAGAATCTATGGGAATATCATTAAAAAAATGACAACTGTAGGGATAAATACACAGGAACAAAAGGGTAGTGTGTTTAGATTAGCAGATGATATAGCAGTATCAGCAACAAGGAGTTAGAGATAGTTTTAAATAAAATGGAAGTGGTATCGACAAAACAGTATTTGCTGCGAATTTTGGCCCAGATACCGGGAGTAGTTCGAATTATACGAAAAGCATTGGTAATGTAACTCACCACCAACTGACGGTTGAATAACAACCCTACTAGAACGCACTATCACATTACTACTTGTCCTTATTGTAACAGTCTTTTATGAAATGGTCACTAAATAAATAAACTAATACTCACAAAAACGTAAATTTCACAATAATCTAAAGAGAACTGAACAACGTTTTAGAAACTGAGAAATTATTTGTATTTATTCAAGCAGGGCAATTATACGAGGTTATATCAATATATAGCATTTTACATTTAAATAAAACAAAATCACCAACACAGTTCTTCTGGACTCATCCTTGTATTACTCCAAGTGGGGTTAATAAGCCCTGTCAGGAAAATCTAACGCCAGAATGAGCAATTTAACACATGTGAGTGATCAAAATAGGTACGTATATTATCTCAATTGTTACAGCTACAACACATACATTTGTTTGTGACACTTCCACTTTGACAGCTCTCTACGCGGACGACATCTCCCTCATAAACTCCGCCCAAGCCATTCTCCAATGCACAGGGAGAATTAATAAGTTTCTGCCTCTGCTCCTACACTGGTACCGAAAATGGAAACTCTCCATTAACGAGACCAAATCAGAAGCAATTTTCTTCATCATCGTCAACAAGCATCCCATCAAATGGAGCAGCTCCGTCACCTATCTAGGCGTCGTCTTCGACAGATGTCTAAACTGGCGGCACCATATTAAAGCGACCCGTAACAAGGCTCTGGATGCATTCATCGCACTTGAACCTTTTTTCCGTAATAACACCATCTCCCAACAGACCAAAATCCTTTACATTTATGGAAAAACAAATTACAAAAATACAGAACAAGCCTTTGATACCAGAGTATTTTATGTTTGCATTCTGTTCTCGAACGTCGGAGATTTAATGTAGTGGTGTTGACGAAACAATTATTTGTGTATATTTCTTTAAATTGTATACATTGTACTTGCATGCTCTTACTCCTTTGTCGCCTACTTGTACATATGCGTTTGATTTTATATGGACCCTTAATATAATAAAAGGAGCTTTTTAATTCTTCCGCCCTAGCTGAGAATTCAGGATGATCTTTCATGAAAACCTTGCCACCAATTATAATCTTTTATAATTGTTTACCAAATATACAGAGACATGTAGACCGCTCCATGGTGCTAAATCAGGTTTCAACCCGATTTCTTTTTTGGGATGAGGAAGTCCAAATACTTAAAACAGTTGTTACAGACGAATTCTATCATTATTAGTACAAGTGTTATTTAAATCAAAATTTTTAATTTTCTTTTTAAAATAACACTTGATTTCATCCAAATTTTATATTCTTACAAACCATGATTGGGTGATTCGTATCATTAAACCTTGCTTCACAAATTAATATTGATCATGCAAATAAAACTTTGGTAAATTTCATGTCGTCGCCTAGAAACGATTTCTAACAACGTTACGAATTTTTAGAGTCAAATACAAAGAAACTTTTATGTCTGTCTTGAGTCATGAAAACAAATTTAATTAAATACGCCAATGTCAAAAGAAGTAAGACTAATCTCAGTTTTTAAGTTCATAACATTATTTACAATTATTTCTAGGATGACGTATTGGAATTAAAGAACCAAATTCTAAATTTAAAAAAAGAGAATGGTTGCATAAAATCAGAAAATAGCCTTTTGAAAGTTAGAATACGAAAACTACATGAAGAAATTCAAAAGAAAAACAAACAAGCTGAGACATTAATTAATCCTACAAAGGTAATAAAAATAGATGCTCGACTATGTAAAAAATTAAAGTTTCAGCAAAAATTTTAGTGAAAATAATTCCTTGTGCTGTTTCTATTTAGATACTACCGCTTGAGAGTTAGTATTAAAGATACAGGAGTCCTCAACAACTTTTTTGGAGGATACCGAATTATATAAATTAATTTACAGAAAATTTAAATCAACTTTCGGTCGGTATATAAATCAAATTTTGGTCAATATTTTATTACCAAAAGGGGCAATTCAAAATACTAATGGTCAGTGTAAAAATATCAAACGATCAGTTTAAAACATTAAATGGTGAGGAAAAAGATACTAAGCAGTCAGCATAAGAATTCCAAACGGTCAGTATCTTTATAAATTAATTAGCTAATAGCTAAATCAAACACTTACTGTCTACGTTAGATGAGTTTGCTTTTTGGTTAGGTTAAATTTAAATATTGGCCACTTCAGTTTGAATACTAACTATATATTTAAATATTGATCTTTCATATTTAAATACTGACCAAATGGATTTAAATCTGACCAAAGGGAGTTAGATACTGATCATATGGATTTAACCACTGACCCTTCATAGTATTTAAATACTTACTGACCAAAAAAGAATAAAATATTGACCAGTGAAACAGTAAAACGTACAAAAACAAAAGTTGGATTCCGGCATTCTTTTTAAAAATACGATTTGTTCAGCAACTGTGTGATATTCCCTTTTTATTTAACTTATATATTACATAAATGACTGTTTCTTGTGACAGAATGCTCATATAAGGAGGATGATTTCCGAAAAAGGAGTTTCAATCATATTACGTCTCAAGGAGGAGAACTTGAAACTACAAAAAATGTTACTTGAAAAAGAACTTACTATAAAACGGCTTCAGAATGATTTAAAAATAAGAAGAACTTATGGCTTAAAACCAGCTAATAATTGTGGTATGTCAGTGAATATATCTCAAAGACCTAATGAAATGGAACTATCTAAAAATGTCAATATCCCTGTACCTTCATTTAAATCTCAAGAAATAGGTAAACCTCCAAGAAAGAGAAAAAATGGTATTTTGAAGAATACTGATGAAGCAAAGCACCCACCAACTATCGATGTTACGCACAAGTAAGCTGTTTCTTCACAATTATATCGGCGTTTCTGTAATAGTATAACTATTTACTATAGGATAAGAACAGAGGAAGCGATTTCTCCAAGTACATGCTCGCTGTCTGATAATTCGGAAGCATATACATCACAGAAACATATGCTTTTGGCAAATATTCTAAGAGATTTTGAAGGTAATTGTTGAGATCCGTCAAATAGGCATAACCATTTGGCGGCATAACTTGCAACTTAAAGGTGGCCCAAATTTAGATGGATATATTGTGCGTGAATGGTGAAATTGTTAAATTAAAATAACACAACGCTTTCAATAAATTATAAGTGTCTTCATAATGGAGTGCGCAGTGTTCTCGCTGCTGTGCGAAATTGAATAAAAAGTTAGTAAAATGTTGTAATACTACCTCCAACAATATTTTTGAACTGTTTTGCCATTACTTTCCTATGAAAACCAGCCATTTTGTATAGGATATAAAAATTATACATAACTATTTTTAAAAAATTAATAAAAAGTGAACTTGAAGCTAGTACAAAAGCAATAAACACCCGCTTATAAAAGAAGTAATGTGTATAATGAAAATTTGTTCACAAGTATAATTATTTCTGCCTACGTATATTTCCAATGTTTACCTAAACCTACTTCGCATGTACACATCATTCATATAATAGTACCACTTTTAGAGTTTCATAAGTCACCTTACCATTAATTTCATGTAAATATGACAGTTGTAAACGATTAGCAACACTAGGTTCACTATCGGATCTTTTTTTTTTTTATACTTTATAATATCACTAACATTCACCTTCAACAAAATTCCCTTTTCAGGGTTTGTGTCGGCCCAATCACATATTATACCAATACTAGTAGTATTATTTTAAAAAATGTACAGTTGTACGGTACGGTGTAGAGACTATGAAGAAGTTTTACTCATCTCATGCTATTTAGGCTCCTCCCATTTAAGGGAACCCAATGCAATTAAAAAATTCACACCATGCCACTGTGACTTCATTTTCTAAAATATTATGTTCTTTTTCGATAAATACGTAGAATGTCTAACTTTAACACGTTAGAAAATTGAATTTGTAGGTATTGTTTTGAAGAAGCAGTCTTTTTTTCATTTAGAAAGCAATATAGACGGAGGAACCACTACATTCAGATCGACAGCGAATACACAAAACATTCAGGGCGACCAAGCAGAAAATCTGTATGAATTAGATATTTTTGATACATCATGTGGCAATTCTCATGAAGAAATAAAGCAGCTTCAATTTAGCTTTATGGAAATGCTAAGTGAAATAAAGAATTTAAAATTAACAATGGCACAACTAATGGAAATTCAGAAAAGCAACGACAAAGATGAAGAATCAAAACGAAGGTAGGTTCCTACCTCCACAATAGATTTACTTCCTTTTCTTGAAGATACTTTTTAGTTGCTTATATTTTTTAGCGAAATTTCTGAACATTGTGAAAAAGAATCATTCGCAAATATCACACAAAACAATAAAAAATGCTTTTCTGGTCAAAGCACGTTACAGCCTTTCCATCAACGTATTACTGAAGAAAAATATACTCAGCATGCTACAGTTGCGACTGATGAAGTAAATACCTTTAAAAATACTTAAAAATTAAACTACTGGTTTCATTTGAATAAATTTTTAGGGTGAAACTTCTCGTATAGGGATGGAAACAAACAACGAACGAAACAATGACACTGACTTTGAAACGGAACGTCTAAAAAAATATCATAAATTACTTTACAATATCAAGGAAAGTTCTGAATCTTTACTCGCAAACGATACCAATGAAGATACCTAACAATAAGTAATTAAGTAACCATTACCAATGTTGTTATTTTAATTTTTTAAATGGACGGGTGATTGAACTATTTTGTAAGTTCATGTACCATTCGTTTCTTTATTGCTATGTACGAACTGCGGGGATAGTTCCTTAAGATAATTATAAGTTATGGACGATTGGAAACTGATTCACAATGGGAAATTCTTTATTAGTATTTTCTCTATCATTCAAAACAGTTTTGCTTTTTCATTTTTTGCTAATCACATTTGTCATAATGAATTTAAACATTTCTTACCTTTTTAAAACACCACTTCAGTCCTCCATGCATGCTTGGTAACAATATTGTACTAACTTTCAATAAAGTGTAGTGTTTGAAAAAAATTTTTATTTTCACACCAAAGATTAACGATCAATGATAATCCAAAAATGCGATACTAATACCAACAAAAAATTACACTTCCAAATCGAAACTCAAGATCAAGATTTATTGAATCTGCCACACTAAGGGTACGACTTGTCAATTTTCGCGCAAGACCAAACACATATACCTACATACATATCTTAATTTCTATTTCTGGAAGGGCAGAAAAGAGTATTTTATAAGCCAACAATAAAGTATAGTCTTTTGGTGTAAAGACATATCAAGGTAGGGTTTTAGTCAATAGTCCTTATTCTGTAATGTTAGGTGTGAAAGTGGTAGGTTAACTCTTCATTGTCATTATCCTTTGACTTTGATTCTACACTATAAATATTTTGCAATTGTTCAATGAAGAAAATAATAAATATTGTAGGTATGCAACATCAACTTGAAATCACTTTTCGATTTTGACCTAACACAAATTTCCTCAAATTAATGAGGAAAATATTTTTGTTGCTGTTGTCACATTGGTGCGTAAAGTCAAAAGTCCCGGGTTCGATTCCCGGTGGGGGGTGATAACAGCAACAAAAATATGTTCCTCATTAATTTGAGGAAATTTGTGGTAGGTCAAAATCGAAAAGTGATTTCAAGTTGATGTTACATATTGACCACTATTAGTAATTTAAAACAAAGTCTTAAATAAAAATTGTGTTATTAAAATAGATGAGTAAATAGGTGTAAGTGTACATACATACATATAATTTATTTATTTACCTTTTATGTAGCAATTTGCTAAACAAATTTTATTTATAAATTAATATAATAACTAAAAACTAATCTACTGATACTTTTACATAACATAAAAGAAAAACATATTAATTTTTTCAGTCGTATATTTAATTTTTGATCATTTTTAGCATAACACATTTCTTTTGCGTAGTTATTATATATACAAAAGTTATTGTACACAGCATTTATTTTGTGAATGTCAAAATTTAACTTACTGAAATTCTTATTTCATTAAACAAATATCGTATAATATAAATAACAGCACGACAACGTGATGTACAAAATAATTACTTACACTTTTTGTTATATTGCACGAACAGGAGTTGGATGAAATTACCTACTTACACAGGGTTCTTCAAACTGAGTGGTGCATTAGACTTTTTAGGGAAACTAAGCGTGTAAGATATCTGAACATATTTGACAGTAGGGGTTATCGAGGATGATCTTTTTAACTAAAATGATTTTACCTGTTGACCGTTTCCGGTTGTACCGGAAGTTGATGCCGCTTTGTTGTTTTAAATGGAATGCTACATTTTTTACGACGAATTCGCATGAAACACAAAATTTTACGATGAATGAGATAATTTAATTTATAGAAAAAAAATCGCAACCGCAAGCTAATTTTTAAAAAATCATAACTTCCACAAGAAATGACTTAGAGTGTTGACAATTGACAGCTACCGCAAATGATAATGAGAATCTTATCTTTCGTTTATCCATTGACGGAATTTGGTTTTTTCCAAGCATCGAATACCACTTGTAAACATTTTTGTTTTTTTGATCATTTGGAAGAATATTATGGAAGCATAATATGCATTCCTATAAATTTATCAAATCTTTTATGCCAAAGTTAGAGAAATTATCTATTTTAGATAAAAATCCAAATTTATTCAAAAATTTTCAAATAAAGCAATATAAAACACCCACTCCAATCGAAAGAGGATAAAAAGAGGTATCGAATGACATAATAAATATGGTAGATGTCATTTGAAAAAACGAAGTTATGTACGTGTTTGAAGTTCCTAAACTTTTTTTGTGTACGCCCAGTATAAATTATGAAACCCAGTTTTGTTTTAACATTAACCACAAGTTATTTTTAATTTTTTATAAATTGAGTTGCCTTAAAATTTTGTGTTTTATATGAATTCGTCGTAAAAAATGTACCATTCCATTTAAAACAACAAAGTCGGCATTAACTTCCGGTATAACTGGAAACGGTCGACAGGTAAATTTATTTTAGTTAAAAAGATCATCCTCGATAACCTCTACTACCAATTTTTGAGATCTCTTACACGCTTAATTAACGTAAGACGTCTAATGTACCACTTAGTTTGAATAACCCTGTATATTATGTGTCATGTATTATAAATCTTAGGTAATTATACTAGATTCCACTAAGTATTATTTTAAAACATTTAAGATATATAACTATTATGCTTTATTTAAGAAATAATTTATTGAATCGAACGTTCCACAAATGATGAAGAAATAAAACATGATATTTTATTTAAGTGAAAGCACAACAGATAAGTATATTCATTAGTAGATTATTTTCTTTTAAATTAACTTACCCACTCAAAAGTCAGATAAGGAAAATAAAGAACAAGAATATTTTCTACGACATTGTTCTAATGAAGTATTTACAACAAATAGATGTAAAAAAATAAAAAATACATTCACACAACATATAGGAACAAATTATTCTTAAATTAACAGGAATCAGGTGCAAAGGGACACTTTTGTAGAGATGTGTACCTCGCTTACTAGATATATAAACGTAACAAAACGTTTTCTATAAAATTCAAAACCTTCAATGTTTTTTTCTTTTACATTTTCTTATACAATCAAAATTTGATTAAGTACTTCTTTTTTTTCTAGCGATTGTAAATATGCATTTTGCTCATGCAAACGTTCATTTAGACCCATTTAATTAGCTAATTTATTGTATGAATACAAGTAGGTACAACACACTTTAGAAAGCATTTAAATGCAACGGTAATGGCCCGCTTTAAAGCATTCAAAATAATAAAATGCTTTTTGTGGTAGTAATAACGCTGAGAATGCTGAGAGTATGTACCTATGTAGCTAATAAATTGTATGTAACGATAATAAATAAATAAGCGATGACCACAAACAATTACAATAATAATAAGTTAACAGTACATTTTGGTTTTACCTTCTGAAATTCGTTAAATCAATTTGTTGTCCGTAGCTATCTATAAATGGTTTAGCATTTATGTTAGTTTTATGTTAAAATTTACAAAAATAGTAGGCATTGTGGAATACTAAAACGTATATACTAAAAATTGTTTGTAGTAAACAATTTACAGACCCTGTAAATCAGGAAAAGTCTTTGGTCAAACAAAACAGAATTGTAAAGTAGGTACCTAATAATTGTAAAACGTAATTACTTGAAAGAGATTCTTTTAAAAGTTATCCCAAGAGGTTGCAATTACAAAAATTAAAGTGAAACCTATACCTGCACTCATATATTTATTTTTCATAAATCAATTACTTAAAAGCTTTAATTAATAATAAAATTTTCGTTGTGCTATAGTATTAGGACGGAATTGGAGAGTCCGCAAATGATTTGACAGAAAATAATAATTATTGTGTGTAATTGTAAATATATAAAAAATAAAATAAATGCCAAAATATTTTTCGAAAGGTTGAATATATATGTGCTTTAACAAAATTATCGAAAAGATAGGTTAACAATTTACATACACACTCATTTGTAGATTACTCAAACTACCTATATTTTGGAAATTTTGCTATTCTCTTTATCTTCACTGTCGAATAATGAGTAAATACTGAATTAGAAAAAAATTACACAATGCACAGTAATTTATAATTAAACGGTAACAGGTTCCCTTCTCTATGTATAAAACAAATGACTCGAATATTTTTTTTTAAATGCATCCGCTCGGGTTGTTTCGTACAACTAAATTATCTTCGAAAATTCCTTAAATCACATCACAAAGAATATAAATACAAAAAAAATAAAAAAATAGAGAAGAAACGTCACGGGAGATTGTATTCGGTTATCTTTAAGTGTTCACCAACTGATTCACCAATTTCTACCATTTTTATAGTTATCAGGAAATGCGTAATTTTATATTGTAGGCGATAATACTATAACAATGTGAATATGCTATCAGAGAATCTCATTAATTCCTAATTCAGTTAAATTTGAGTTAAGTTTCTTAGTAAAATTGTGGAAATAGAATTGAAATTATTTCTCATTAGTAAAAATTATAGAAAAAATGTATAAGTATAAATACTTGTACTACAACCTGCTTCTTTGTAACATAAAAATGACAGATGTTAGTTCATTGTGGGTATATGAGATCTGAAATGAAATAAAGTTTATTTATACCATTGACACCTTTTTGAGCGAAGTTTTGTAATATTCGAAATAAAGTACGTAAACATACATTTTGTTTTCCTTTTTGAAATATTCTCTAAATTCATTTGAAAAGAACATTCATAATTGCTGTAGAGAGCAATATATTTATTTCATAGCGAAACACGCAGTCAACGAATCCTCTTTTCAAGCAATCTTACTGAAAAAAGCCGAAATTGAAATTTCACTTTGGCTTTCTTATCTGCTCGAATAAAAAGGAAATTATCATTTTGAATTATTAGAATCTCGGTATCAAAAGCATATAATAACCATTTTAGTCGATTGTCTAAAATACTGATGTCTGTATTATGACTAGTTCTGAGATTGGTACCGTAGTTAATTTAACGGTATTGGAGATCTACCACTTTTTGTTCTATTTTGTTTATTCATTACCCTCAGTATTTTGCTGATGTCTTCTTGGGAAAACATTGAGTTAGAAATGGGTTTCTTCCGTCGCGCTTTGTTTATGTTGATACAAAAGCTATCCTTTTTCCAATTGTCAACATCCACTCCCAACCTGCCGCATTCTCTAGAATAAGCCATTAAGCTTTCGCAGTAGCATTTTCCATTGGGACAGTCGCACATATCTGACTTGCAAGCGTTGTAGTACTTGTTTGAATTCAGCTTCGAATCGCATCCATTAAAAACTTTGGTGCTTAAGAGATGCTTACAATGATTTCTGTCTGCATTCCTTATTTTACATTGTCGTAATGGTGTTAGTTGTGCAGATTGTTTTATACAAGACTTCGGTCCAACACACCAAGACGAGGCAAATGAAATAGCATCGGTATCCCTTACGACTACACCTCTTCGAAGTTTAAAGTCGTCTTTGACATTGGAATTGAAATTACCACAGAGACCGCAGAGTTTGTTTTTGAATTCCGGTGGGACCGTTACTTCTAGAAAACTTTTGCCGTTCCACACAATAACAACTTTGCTTGAAAGGGTTACTTCTAAGACGTCTAGACGTTTTTCTATTTTAACAGATCCCTCAATTTTAAAAGGAAACTTTACCAAGTCACCATTAACTTTACATTTGAAATTCTGAGCTAAATTGATGCGAATGCTATTTGACTTAATGGTTATTCTTCTTGTATTCACAGATCTTTTATTATGGACGTTTGTGATTCTAACGGAGAAAATATGGGAGCGACAGTCGGATACGAACTGATATTTTCCCAACCCTCCAAAATTATATATTTTACCATCGAAAGTTTTATAATGAGAATTTCCAAAAGCCATGCACACTCCTTCATCTGGAAATTAGATTAATCTGCGTTAAAAAAGTCCATAGAAAAAGTTCTTTAGGATTTTAGTTAGTTTCCACTAATAGCGGAAAAATAAGAACTACCAGAAACTTCGAAAAATTTATTTTACGAATAGTCTGTTATTTAAGATTTCTCTGGGAACATACCTAATGATTATTCATTATCTCGAAAATCAAAAGCAGGATGTAGTTGTAATCGCTTTTGGTCTAGCTACATGTGGCAAGCTGCACATATTTGCATTCTTTTGTACGAAGATTTAATTATGGTACATATTTCTACTAAAACAAACGTAAACTACCTACGCATTATTAAAAAGCTTTTTATTTTTATCACATGGGAATTTCTTTATAACGTGTAAAATAAAAAAATACACTTTGTAGGCCGTTCTAAATTTGTTTGTTGACAAGTTGAAAATGTAGACCTGACTTAAAAATCTGATTCTTCTTGTGATACACAAGATACTGCAGTAATGCGTACTTCAAAATTCCTGCTTTACATTTGTTTTATAACAACTGTTGATCTTGATATTTATGTATAATACACTCTTACCCAAATTAACTGAATGATGAACAATTTTTTTTAACACATTTTATATAAGTACTGCAACTACAAGTATTTAATAATGCTAGGTATACGAAAAATTGTACGTATATTGTTATCATTCAACAATAAAGTTAATTTAGTATCGTAGATTTTCAAGCTTTATGGTATCATAAGTTTTATTTAAACGTTATCTTTCGTGTATGTTTAAAAGAAAGAAAAGTCAAATGATAATTGAAAATGATCAATGTATGATTAACAAGTATGTTTATTAATTAGCTAGGTATATAGCTAATGTAATGCTTACACAATAAACTACCCAACTAAATTAACGCACAACTAGAACAGTAACATAAATTCAAAGTTTAATTTCTTGTAAGTCATGATAGTATGATTATTTAGTAACGTCAATGTACTTATAATTTTTTAAATTTCGGTTTTGGCCACATATGAAGCGTATGAATGATGGTAGGATTTTACTTGAAATTTGAAACATCCTGTTAAAAACGAACAGTTAAAACAGCCTGGAACTATTAACATGATGCTGTACTTGTTTTCCGAATATTACCAGGTGTACAAGCTTAAATCCGCTGTTTGCTCATAAATGGTGTCAGTGAGCATATCAAGCTGATATGTACACGCCATATTTTTTTTTTTAGAGTACGACATCTGTCAACAATAGTCCGTTCACATTATCATCAATTTCACACAAAAGATACTTTTTCTTTTAGGTAATCATGTCTAGTTTTGTGTCAAAAAAAAGCATTTGCGGGAAGCTCTACTTTTCTGCTTCAATTTGAAGAAATCAGCCGCTGAATCGCATCGAATGCCTGTGGAGGCCTACGGTGACAATACTTTATCGGAAACAACGTGCCGAGATTGGTTTCGTCAATTCAAAAATGGCAATTTCGATTTGAGCGACAAGGAGTGTGAAAATCGGCCCAGGAAATTTGAGGACCACGAATTGAAGGCACTGTTGGACGAGGACGATACCCAATCACATAAAATGCTTGCCGAGCAATTAGGTGTTTCTCAACAAGCTATTTTTATGCGTCTACAGACTATGGGTAAGGTTCAAAGGGTCGGAAAATAGGTACCGCTTGAATTGAATGATAAGCAGATGCAGCGACGCCAAAACACATGTTAAATATTACTTGCCAGACACAAGAGAAAGATGTTTTTGTATTAGATTGTGACTGACGATGAAAAGTGGATATATTTTGAGAATCCTAAACGAAGAAAATCGTGGGTTGATCCCAGCCAACCATCAACATCATTCCCAAGACCAAATCGCTTCGGACGGAAGCCGATGCTGTGCGTTGTGGGATCAGCGGGGTATAATCTACTATGAACTATTGAAACCTGGTGAAACTGTCGATGCCCACCGTTACCACCAACAACTGATGAAATTGCACCGTGCTCTGCGTGAAAAAAGGCCCGAATATGAGCAAAGCTGATTTTCCTCCATGACAATGCTCCGTCCCACTCGTCAAAAAAGCCCAAAACTATTTAGAGAAGCTTAACTGGGGTGCTGCCCCACCCCTCTTATTCACCAGACCTGGTCCCTTCCGACTATTATTTGTTTGGCTCAATAGGCCACTGGCTCGCTGAGCAGCACTTCGATTCATACGGCGACGTCTGAAAATGGCTTAATGAGTAGTTTGCCTCGAAAGAAGAAAACTTCTTTTGGCGTGGAATCCACAAATTACCCGAAAGATATAAGAAATGTATCGAAAGCACTGGACAGTATTTTGAATAAATTTGAATTTGCTTTTTATAAAAAAAGGCGTTTTTCTTAAAAAAACAAACTTAAAGCGGATTTAAGCTTGTATACCTATGTATGTTGTCTGATTCAGTCATTAACAATAAGAAGAAAGCATAATAAAAGGTTTCTACCTCGTTACAAATCGTTCTGTTAACGAGTGCACAAACTGTTTTATGCCTGATGTAAGTAGCTACAGCTTAAGCTTAATTGTTGGGTATCTGTTTTATTAATACACATGGTAACACCAATAAAAAAGCAAAATGTTTGGAAAATATATATAGATCCCAGCTCGTTTAACAGTAGTATCCCGTAAGGTACCTACTGGAAATATTAGTTAAAAAGCCTATCGGTTTACGAAAAAATTATCTTTAAATTAATGTCACTTTTCTAGTGGTGCGTTAATTTTGACTAGTAGAGTATAGGCTTACTAAGCAACTTTGGTGCCGACACTCTGTAAAAAAAAGAACGCAGGCGGGTCAATTGTTGCGTTGTCGGATGCAATTCTTGAAGGGTTAAAAGTGCTCATTTGAGTTTATATGGCGTTCCGAACGAGCCATGGGAAATAGAAAGAGGAAATAACATGGTTCGCTAGTGTGCTCTATCTGAGCTGTTTTTATTAGTGAAGTTCGCAAACCCTCGGAACCAACAAAATGTCCAAAGACATATAGTTTACATTTTCGAGGGAGCAGAAAAACGGAAGATCCACGAGAAACTATCTTAATCCCTTAATTTTTCCTGGGATCTGTGACGGGAAGCATTCAACAACAGCATCGGAATCAAAAAACCGGTACCAAGAGTTTCTCAAAGAAAATTTCCTTTGATGAAAAATCTTATTATTTTGACGTTTCATAATTAACGTGAAAATTTTATAAAAATTTCGGCCCTTCGAAAAAAGATATTTGCAACTAAAATGTACTTTTTGGAAATTATTTTTAAGAATCAAACTCATTTTTCGATCATGTTTTTAAGGAGTAAAAGAAAAAGTGATTATGCAAAATCATTTCAAATAAAATAATTTATTGCTTAACAGCATATGCCTTTACCGTTTGTTGATTCTCGCAAATATGAGAAACCGCTCCGACGAGATGCGATCGTTCCGAAATATCGACGCTAATATATATTTAGTCTATATTGAAAACAAACATAGGTAAAACAGTAGGTCAAATATTATGATCGAAATTGCACCTACTTTCAACACATTTTCCACAACATTCTCCTGCCGTTTGAACATATTTTGATCCTGGAGGACAAGCCATGGTGATGTTGCACCTAGTCCGTGCACAACTCTGCATCCCTTGGACACATTTACAAGAACTGCACGCATTTAATTTCCACGATTGGCCATCCTGCCTGACAAAAATAGCTTACGTCATATTTAGAAAAAATATTTATTACCTACTGCAAATAGGTACTTAAATATTTAATGTTTTTCTTAAAACCAAAAATTACTTTCTGTATTTAAGAATGACTGACGTTTTTAGTTATTGATATCTACCTACAAAATTATAAGTGAGACACTCTAAGTAGCGAGACATTTTAAATACATAATATAAAATTATATATCTACTAGAGTTTTCAAGTAAGTACGTACGATACATGTAATTATTACGATGATTTTTGCGTGATTTCTTTTATAAAATATGTTCTATCAACTAATTTGTTATATATCGTTATCTATAAATGTCTACTGTTAACTGTACTAATTTATTGGATAACAAAATTGGTAAAAAAAACATTAACTGAACATTACTTAATATTAATCAAACTGCTTCTAGAAATAACATCAATTTGATTGGTGACTAGCTGTAAGTCTCGATATGCTGAAGACTGATAATATCGAAAATACGATCTACATCTGGTGATTTCGATAAATTGCTAGCCGAGAATTTATTGTCGTTTATTTAAGCAGGTTTATTTAAGTAAATTCTAGTAGTAAGCTAAAAAAAAAAGTTCTTATCGAAACCACTAGACGGAGTCTTGATAAATTACAGTTTACTGCTACATGGCAATATATTAGCAGTTATCATTCAGCAAGCGTACCGCCAAATTAATAAAATTCCTAAATTAATGATTTAAACAAAAGGAACAGTAAGTTTTATTTTTATTGCGAATTTTCTACGAGGTTAAATACAATAAATTATAATTCGGGCAACCTCTATTATTTGTTTAAATATTTGCACATAAGTGTGTATCGTACACATACATATGGTTATCCATGAAGAGTTAGAAATGTATATTCCTAAATTTATTAAAAAAAATAAGCATGCTAGAAACGAGACGAAATATAGATTAAGTACGTCCTTGCGAGTGAGCATTTCTCTTTATTGACTAACAGATGTTTGATTATTTAGGCTTTATAATTAGATGCAATTTCAATGTTATGTCTTACGTTGCTTTACTCATTTAAATAATGAATATTGATTATAAATTGAAAAATTGTGACTAGCGTATGCATATTAATTAAATAACTTGTCAAAGATTAAAGAAGTATTAAAACAAATTTAAATTACATCATTTCGAAATAAATTAGAGACTTTCAAAAAGTCTAACGAAAAAGTTGATAATTAGTAAATATTTTTTTTTATACTGACAATAGGTACGTGAGGTATTGGTTGGATATATTATTAGAGTTCTTCCAAAATTAGTCTTCCATGGTTAGTTTCATCAAAGAACATAAATGTATCATCATCATTATCATAAGGTCTTCAGACCTAAGAATGGTTTGACACCCACATCCACTTTTTCCTATCCTGAGCTAATCTGCGCATTCCCTAAGACCATCCCACATCCTTAACTATCTGCGAACAGTAATGTAATTTACGTCTACCTCTACTCGTCTTAACTCCCGTTTCTGCCTCTAATATGCCCCTGACTAGCCATTAATGCCTACCAACATATCTCGTCTATTTTTCGTCAAGTTTCATAGAGCCCTCTTCTCTCCAATTCTTTCTAATACCTCTTCATTTCTAACCTTCTATATCCACGGTATCTTCATCATTCGCGTGTAACACCACATTTCTAACGCTTCTAACACTTACTCTTCCCCCGCGCTCACCGTCCATGTTTCGCACTCGTGCAGTGCCGCGCTCCAAACATACACCTTTAACAATCTTTTCCAAATTGATCGTTCCCGAGCATAGAACTGACATTTTTTATTGACGGCGACTCAACCCTGCGCTATCCTCTGCGTTATATATCTATTACTACTTCCATCTTGACTTCTCTAACTTCCTAGATACCGAAAATTAGTCACTTGTAATTTTTCTTCGTCTCCTACCCTCATATTCGTTCTTTCCCTACTTTTTCTTCCCTTGCATACCAATATTTTTCTTTTACTCTTATTTATTTTCATACAATACTGTTTAAAGTATAGGATAGCGCAGGGTCAAGTCGCCTTCAATAAAAAGAAATCACGTATATGCTCGCAAGCGGTTAATTTAGAAAAATGGAAAACGGATGTTAAAGGTATATGTTTGGAATGTGGCGCGGTACGGGTGCGAAACGGTTAGAGGAAAAGAAAAGGTAAGAAGCGTTCGAAATGTGGTGTTACAGGCGAATGATGAGGATACCGTGAATAGAGAAGGTTGGAAATGAAGAGTATTAGAAAGAATAGAAGAACAGAGGACCCTACAGAAGTCAATAAAAGATAGCGAGATAGGTTCTCAGGCATGATGGTCTAGTCAGACATATTAGAGGCAGAAACGAGAGTTAAGAGGAGTAGAGGTAGACCCTGATTGTTGTTCTAGTTTCATGGATATGCGAAGTTTAGCTCAGGATAGGAAAGAGGGAAGGTGCGTGTCCAATCAGTTTTAGGACTGACGACTGATGATGATGACAATACTGCTTTGTCAATATCGCCTCTATTTTATTCGAAGCCATCTCTAACTCCTCCTTACCAGATGCTAATACAGCTATATTGTCTGCAAATCTACGCATACTAATTTTTAGCCCCTGAATATCTATCCCTACAGTTGTGCTGTCTTTAATAAAATTGATTGCGTCTTCGATGTATAGATTAAAATGTAGCGGTTATAGTGTTCATCCTTGTCTGCCTCCTTTCCTAATATTTACCATTCTACTTTGCTGCTCCAGCTATATAACGACCTCCTTATACAAACTAAGTATCACTCTTTTATCTCTGTAGCTCATTCCTCCATTTTTAAGTATATCTAACATTTTGTCCCATTTAACATTGTCAAAAGCTCTTTTTATATATACGAATCCAATGTACGCTCTTTTTTCTTTTTCTGTCATACTCATTATTATTACCCATAAAGCTAGAATGGCTTCTTTTTCTTTCAAACCCAAATTGATCTTCCCCTAATAGTTCTTCAGCCCTTCTTTCCATCCTTCTCTGTACAATTCTGGTTAAGATTTTTGACGCATGGGAAGTTAAGTTAATTGTTCTAAATGTCTCGCACCTATCCACGCCTCTCTTTTCAGGGATGGCTACTACCACGTTCCGTTTATAATCCAGCGAGACTTTTCCCGTCTCGTCTCGTAAATGTGACTAACTAGCTTAAACGTACAGTCCCTAACCTCTTGTCATACATATTTTAGACTTTCCGCCTGTAGGCTATCTATACCTGGCATCTTATTATTCTTAAGGTTTTTTAATGCTACATCAAACTCATCTCTGTTTATGAGATAGCCTAGCTGACCTATCTTCCTTCTGTAATATATCTCCTAACTCATGACCTGCGTATGGATTCTCTAAGTATTCTTCTCACTTGTCCGCCTTTTCCTTATTTTATATGGAAATGACCCCCGCCTCGTTTTTTATATTATTACTATTGTACCCTACTTCTCTAAAATTCCTCCTAATTATATTATTATTATNTACATATTTTAGACTTTCCGCCTGTAGGCTATCTATACCTGGCATCTTATTATTCTTAAGGTTTTTTAATGCTACATCAAACTCATCTCTGTTTATGAGATAGCCTAGCTGACCTATCTTCCTTCTGTAATATATCTCCTAAATCAATCTTACTGAAAAAAGCCGAAATTGAAATTTCACTTTGGCTTTCTTATCTGCTCGAATAAAAAGGAAATTATCATTTTGAATTATTAGAATCTCGGTATCAAAAGCATATAATAACCATTTTAGTCGATTGTCTAAAATACTGATGTCTGTATTATGACTAGTTCTGAGATTGGTACCGTAGTTAATTTAACGGTATTGGAGATCTACCACTTTTTGTTCTATTTTGTTTATTCATTACCCTCAGTATTTTGCTGATGTCTTCTTGGGAAAACATTGAGTTAGAAATGGGTTTCTTCCGTCGCGCTTTGTTTATGTTGATACAAAAGCTATCCTTTTTCCAATTGTCAACATCCACTCCCAACCTGCCGCATTCTCTAGAATAAGCCATTAAGCTTTCGCAGTAGCATTTTCCATTGGGACAGTCGCACATATCTGACTTGCAAGCGTTGTAGTACTTGTTTGAATTCAGCTTCGAATCGCATCCATTAAAAACTTTGGTGCTTAAGAGATGCTTACAATGATTTCTGTCTGCATTCCTTATTTTACATTGTCGTAATGGTGTTAGTTGTGCAGATTGTTTTATACAAGACTTCGGTCCAACACACCAAGACGAGGCAAATGAAATAGCATCGGTATCCCTTACGACTACACCTCTTCGAAGTTTAAAGTCGTCTTTGACATTGGAATTGAAATTACCACAGAGACCGCAGAGTTTGTTTTTGAATTCCGGTGGGACCGTTACTTCTAGAAAACTTTTGCCGTTCCACACAATAACAACTTTGCTTGAAAGGGTTACTTCTAAGACGTCTAGACGTTTTTCTATTTTAACAGATCCCTCAATTTTAAAAGGAAACTTTACCAAGTCACCATTAACTTTACATTTGAAATTCTGAGCTAAATTGATGCGAATGCTATTTGACTTAATGGTTATTCTTCTTGTATTCACAGATCTTTTATTATGGACGTTTGTGATTCTAACGGAGAAAATATGGGAGCGACAGTCGGATACGAACTGATATTTTCCCAACCCTCCAAAATTATATATTTTACCATCGAAAGTTTTATAATGAGAATTTCCAAAAGCCATGCACACTCCTTCATCTGGAAATTAGATTAATCTGCGTTAAAAAAGTCCATAGAAAAAGTTCTTTAGGATTTTAGTTAGTTTCCACTAATAGCGGAAAAATAAGAACTACCAGAAACTTCGAAAAATTTATTTTACGAATAGTCTGTTATTTAAGATTTCTCTGGGAACATACCTAATGATTATTCATTATCTCGAAAATCAAAAGCAGGATGTAGTTGTAATCGCTTTTGGTCTAGCTACATGTGGCAAGCTGCACATATTTGCATTCTTTTGTACGAAGATTTAATTATGGTACATATTTCTACTAAAACAAACGTAAACTACCTACGCATTATTAAAAAGCTTTTTATTTTTATCACATGGGAATTTCTTTATAACGTGTAAAATAAAAAAATACACTTTGTAGGCCGTTCTAAATTTGTTTGTTGACAAGTTGAAAATGTAGACCTGACTTAAAAATCTGATTCTTCTTGTGATACACAAGATACTGCAGTAATGCGTACTTCAAAATTCCTGCTTTACATTTGTTTTATAACAACTGTTGATCTTGATATTTATGTATAATACACTCTTACCCAAATTAACTGAATGATGAACAATTTTTTTTAACACATTTTATATAAGTACTGCAACTACAAGTATTTAATAATGCTAGGTATACGAAAAATTGTACGTATATTGTTATCATTCAACAATAAAGTTAATTTAGTATCGTAGATTTTCAAGCTTTATGGTATCATAAGTTTTATTTAAACGTTATCTTTCGTGTATGTTTAAAAGAAAGAAAAGTCAAATGATAATTGAAAATGATCAATGTATGATTAACAAGTATGTTTATTAATTAGCTAGGTATATAGCTAATGTAATGCTTACACAATAAACTACCCAACTAAATTAACGCACAACTAGAACAGTAACATAAATTCAAAGTTTAATTTCTTGTAAGTCATGATAGTATGATTATTTAGTAACGTCAATGTACTTATAATTTTTTAAATTTCGGTTTTGGCCACATATGAAGCGTATGAATGATGGTAGGATTTTACTTGAAATTTGAAACATCCTGTTAAAAACGAACAGTTAAAACAGCCTGGAACTATTAACATGATGCTGTACTTGTTTTCCGAATATTACCAGGTGTACAAGCTTAAATCCGCTGTTTGCTCATAAATGGTGTCAGTGAGCATATCAAGCTGATATGTACACGCCATATTTTTTTTTTTAGAGTACGACATCTGTCAACAATAGTCCGTTCACATTATCATCAATTTCACACAAAAGATACTTTTTCTTTTAGGTAATCATGTCTAGTTTTGTGTCAAAAAAAAGCATTTGCGGGAAGCTCTACTTTTCTGCTTCAATTTGAAGAAATCAGCCGCTGAATCGCATCGAATGCCTGTGGAGGCCTACGGTGACAATACTTTATCGGAAACAACGTGCCGAGATTGGTTTCGTCAATTCAAAAATGGCAATTTCGATTTGAGCGACAAGGAGTGTGAAAATCGGCCCAGGAAATTTGAGGACCACGAATTGAAGGCACTGTTGGACGAGGACGATACCCAATCACATAAAATGCTTGCCGAGCAATTAGGTGTTTCTCAACAAGCTATTTTTATGCGTCTACAGACTATGGGTAAGGTTCAAAGGGTCGGAAAATAGGTACCGCTTGAATTGAATGATAAGCAGATGCAGCGACGCCAAAACACATGTTAAATATTACTTGCCAGACACAAGAGAAAGATGTTTTTGTATTAGATTGTGACTGACGATGAAAAGTGGATATATTTTGAGAATCCTAAACGAAGAAAATCGTGGGTTGATCCCAGCCAACCATCAACATCATTCCCAAGACCAAATCGCTTCGGACGGAAGCCGATGCTGTGCGTTGTGGGATCAGCGGGGTATAATCTACTATGAACTATTGAAACCTGGTGAAACTGTCGATGCCCACCGTTACCACCAACAACTGATGAAATTGCACCGTGCTCTGCGTGAAAAAAGGCCCGAATATGAGCAAAGCTGATTTTCCTCCATGACAATGCTCCGTCCCACTCGTCAAAAAAGCCCAAAACTATTTAGAGAAGCTTAACTGGGGTGCTGCCCCACCCCTCTTATTCACCAGACCTGGTCCCTTCCGACTATTATTTGTTTGGCTCAATAGGCCACTGGCTCGCTGAGCAGCACTTCGATTCATACGGCGACGTCTGAAAATGGCTTAATGAGTAGTTTGCCTCGAAAGAAGAAAACTTCTTTTGGCGTGGAATCCACAAATTACCCGAAAGATATAAGAAATGTATCGAAAGCACTGGACAGTATTTTGAATAAATTTGAATTTGCTTTTTATAAAAAAAGGCGTTTTTCTTAAAAAAACAAACTTAAAGCGGATTTAAGCTTGTATACCTATGTATGTTGTCTGATTCAGTCATTAACAATAAGAAGAAAGCATAATAAAAGGTTTCTACCTCGTTACAAATCGTTCTGTTAACGAGTGCACAAACTGTTTTATGCCTGATGTAAGTAGCTACAGCTTAAGCTTAATTGTTGGGTATCTGTTTTATTAATACACATGGTAACACCAATAAAAAAGCAAAATGTTTGGAAAATATATATAGATCCCAGCTCGTTTAACAGTAGTATCCCGTAAGGTACCTACTGGAAATATTAGTTAAAAAGCCTATCGGTTTACGAAAAAATTATCTTTAAATTAATGTCACTTTTCTAGTGGTGCGTTAATTTTGACTAGTAGAGTATAGGCTTACTAAGCAACTTTGGTGCCGACACTCTGTAAAAAAAAGAACGCAGGCGGGTCAATTGTTGCGTTGTCGGATGCAATTCTTGAAGGGTTAAAAGTGCTCATTTGAGTTTATATGGCGTTCCGAACGAGCCATGGGAAATAGAAAGAGGAAATAACATGGTTCGCTAGTGTGCTCTATCTGAGCTGTTTTTATTAGTGAAGTTCGCAAACCCTCGGAACCAACAAAATGTCCAAAGACATATAGTTTACATTTTCGAGGGAGCAGAAAAACGGAAGATCCACGAGAAACTATCTTAATCCCTTAATTTTTCCTGGGATCTGTGACGGGAAGCATTCAACAACAGCATCGGAATCAAAAAACCGGTACCAAGAGTTTCTCAAAGAAAATTTCCTTTGATGAAAAATCTTATTATTTTGACGTTTCATAATTAACGTGAAAATTTTATAAAAATTTCGGCCCTTCGAAAAAAGATATTTGCAACTAAAATGTACTTTTTGGAAATTATTTTTAAGAATCAAACTCATTTTTCGATCATGTTTTTAAGGAGTAAAAGAAAAAGTGATTATGCAAAATCATTTCAAATAAAATAATTTATTGCTTAACAGCATATGCCTTTACCGTTTGTTGATTCTCGCAAATATGAGAAACCGCTCCGACGAGATGCGATCGTTCCGAAATATCGACGCTAATATATATTTAGTCTATATTGAAAACAAACATAGGTAAAACAGTAGGTCAAATATTATGATCGAAATTGCACCTACTTTCAACACATTTTCCACAACATTCTCCTGCCGTTTGAACATATTTTGATCCTGGAGGACAAGCCATGGTGATGTTGCACCTAGTCCGTGCACAACTCTGCATCCCTTGGACACATTTACAAGAACTGCACGCATTTAATTTCCACGATTGGCCATCCTGCCTGACAAAAATAGCTTACGTCATATTTAGAAAAAATATTTATTACCTACTGCAAATAGGTACTTAAATATTTAATGTTTTTCTTAAAACCAAAAATTACTTTCTGTATTTAAGAATGACTGACGTTTTTAGTTATTGATATCTACCTACAAAATTATAAGTGAGACACTCTAAGTAGCGAGACATTTTAAATACATAATATAAAATTATATATCTACTAGAGTTTTCAAGTAAGTACGTACGATACATGTAATTATTACGATGATTTTTGCGTGATTTCTTTTATAAAATATGTTCTATCAACTAATTTGTTATATATCGTTATCTATAAATGTCTACTGTTAACTGTACTAATTTATTGGATAACAAAATTGGTAAAAAAAACATTAACTGAACATTACTTAATATTAATCAAACTGCTTCTAGAAATAACATCAATTTGATTGGTGACTAGCTGTAAGTCTCGATATGCTGAAGACTGATAATATCGAAAATACGATCTACATCTGGTGATTTCGATAAATTGCTAGCCGAGAATTTATTGTCGTTTATTTAAGCAGGTTTATTTAAGTAAATTCTAGTAGTAAGCTAAAAAAAAAAGTTCTTATCGAAACCACTAGACGGAGTCTTGATAAATTACAGTTTACTGCTACATGGCAATATATTAGCAGTTATCATTCAGCAAGCGTACCGCCAAATTAATAAAATTCCTAAATTAATGATTTAAACAAAAGGAACAGTAAGTTTTATTTTTATTGCGAATTTTCTACGAGGTTAAATACAATAAATTATAATTCGGGCAACCTCTATTATTTGTTTAAATATTTGCACATAAGTGTGTATCGTACACATACATATGGTTATCCATGAAGAGTTAGAAATGTATATTCCTAAATTTATTAAAAAAAATAAGCATGCTAGAAACGAGACGAAATATAGATTAAGTACGTCCTTGCGAGTGAGCATTTCTCTTTATTGACTAACAGATGTTTGATTATTTAGGCTTTATAATTAGATGCAATTTCAATGTTATGTCTTACGTTGCTTTACTCATTTAAATAATGAATATTGATTATAAATTGAAAAATTGTGACTAGCGTATGCATATTAATTAAATAACTTGTCAAAGATTAAAGAAGAATTAAAACAAATTTAAATTACATCATTTCGAAATAAATTAGAGACTTTCAAAAAGTCTAACGAAAAAGTTGATAATTAGTAAATATTTTTTTTTATACTGACAATAGGTACGTGAGGTATTGGTCGGATATATTATTAGAGTTCTTCCAAAATTAGTCTTCCATGGTTAGTTTCATCAAAGAACATAAATGTATCATCATCATTATCATAAGGTCTTCAGACCTAAGAATGGTTTGACACCCACATCCACTTTTTCCTATCCTGAGCTAATCTGCGCATTCCCTAAGACCATCCCACATCCTTAACTATCTGCGAACAGTAATGTAATTTACGTCTACCTCTACTCGTCTTAACTCCCGTTTCTGCCTCTAATATGCCCCTGACTAGCCATTAATGCCTACCAACATATCTCGTCTATTTTTCGTCAAGTTTCATAGAGCCCTCTTCTCTCCAATTCTTTCTAATACCTCTTCATTTCTAACCTTCTATATCCACGGTATCTTCATCATTCGCGTGTAACACCACATTTCTAACGCTTCTAACACTTACTCTTCCCCCGCGCTCACCGTCCATGTTTCGCACTCGTGCAGTGCCGCGCTCCAAACATACACCTTTAACAATCTTTTCCAAATTGATCGTTCCCGAGCATAGAACTGACATTTTTTATTGACGGCGACTCAACCCTGCGCTATCCTCTGCGTTATATATCTATTACTACTTCCATCTTGACTTCTCTAACTTCCTAGATACCGAAAATTAGTCACTTGTAATTTTTCTTCGTCTCCTACCCTCATATTCGTTCTTTCCCTACTTTTTCTTCCCTTGCATACCAATATTTTTCTTTTACTCTTATTTATTTTCATACAATACTGTTTAAAGTATAGGATAGCGCAGGGTCAAGTCGCCTTCAATAAAAAGAAATCACGTATATGCTCGCAAGCGGTTAATTTAGAAAAATGGAAAACGGATGTTAAAGGTATATGTTTGGAATGTGGCGCGGTACGGGTGCGAAACGGTTAGAGGAAAAGAAAAGGTAAGAAGCGTTCGAAATGTGGTGTTACAGGCGAATGATGAGGATACCGTGAATAGAGAAGGTTGGAAATGAAGAGTATTAGAAAGAATAGAAGAACAGAGGACCCTACAGAAGTCAATAAAAGATAGCGAGATAGGTTCTCAGGCATGATGGTCTAGTCAGACATATTAGAGGCAGAAACGAGAGTTAAGAGGAGTAGAGGTAGACCCTGATTGTTGTTCTAGTTTCATGGATATGCGAAGTTTAGCTCAGGATAGGAAAGAGGGAAGGTGCGTGTCCAATCAGTTTTAGGACTGACGACTGATGATGATGACAATACTGCTTTGTCAATATCGCCTCTATTTTATTCGAAGCCATCTCTAACTCCTCCTTACCAGATGCTAATACAGCTATATTGTCTGCAAATCTACGCATACTAATTTTTAGCCCCTGAATATCTATCCCTACAGTTGTGCTGTCTTTAATAAAATTGATTGCGTCTTCGATGTATAGATTAAAATGTAGCGGTTATAGTGTTCATCCTTGTCTGCCTCCTTTCCTAATATTTACCATTCTACTTTGCTGCTCCAGCTATATAACGACCTCCTTATACAAACTAAGTATCACTCTTTTATCTCTGTAGCTCATTCCTCCATTTTTAAGTATATCTAACATTTTGTCCCATTTAACATTGTCAAAAGCTCTTTTTATATATACGAATCCAATGTACGCTCTTTTTTCTTTTTCTGTCATACTCATTATTATTACCCATAAAGCTAGAATGGCTTCTTTTTCTTTCAAACCCAAATTGATCTTCCCCTAATAGTTCTTCAGCCCTTCTTTCCATCCTTCTCTGTACAATTCTGGTTAAGATTTTTGACGCATGGGAAGTTAAGTTAATTGTTCTAAATGTCTCGCACCTATCCACGCCTCTCTTTTCAGGGATGGCTACTACCACGTTCCGTTTATAATCCAGCGAGACTTTTCCCGTCTCGTCTCGTAAATGTGACTAACTAGCTTAAACGTACAGTCCCTAACCTCTTGTCATACATATTTTAGACTTTCCGCCTGTAGGCTATCTATACCTGGCATCTTATTATTCTTAAGGTTTTTTAATGCTACATCAAACTCATCTCTGTTTATGAGATAGCCTAGCTGACCTATCTTCCTTCTGTAATATATCTCCTAACTCATGACCTGCGTATGGATTCTCTAAGTATTNATATATTATATAAAAAACTCGCCTCATAAGTTTTTCCCATATAACTACATTGCAATCGAATTTCTGCAGGCATTGCGCAGTACGGGCAGCAACTTCCTTTAATTCTTTCTTGAAAGGTTGGTCCACAATTTAACACCGGACATGAATTCCTTCGGCAAACTGCAGTACCATTAATACAAGCACAATGTGTACACCTTAGGTAAAGAAAAAAAGAAACAATGAAAACATTTGTCGAAACAGTAAAATTTCAACATCCTATAAATACCTAGCATCTTCATGATATCTTTGACGTTAGGGAATTTGTGTGCCGGTGGAATATAATAGCCGATTTAGGAGCTGCACATCTATGTGAGATGTTGGTATTTTGCTTATGGCATTATGTAGAAAGAACATAAAATGGAGCAATACATAAATAAACGAATGAGAATGTGAACGCTATCTCGGATATATTTGTTATAATCAAATGTTACATCTTTATACCTAAGCCAGATTGATGCGCAATTTGGTTTGCATTATTCCCCTAAACTAGGTACATATTCACCTTTATTGGAGTATATGTGTTTTTGAAAGTCTTTAGCAATAGAAAATAATGGAAAACGATTTATAAATGTAATGCAATCAAAATTGATAAAGAGTAATAAAAAGCTTCAGGAGATTACCTATCTGTATTAAATTTATGCCCTTCCAAGTAGAAACTGTTGCCGACAGTACATGCTTTGGAGATGGATAATAGTGACCTCGTACCAGAACATTTTGGACAACACTCTCCAGGTATATGAATTTGATGTTCTTCTGAACACTGTAGAACAGGACATGCTTTTTTAGTGCAGGTAAGTCTTCCATCTATACAACGACACTGTAGACAGGGATCGTCAGAAGTCACGTCCCTGTCATCAGTAGCAACTTGTCCATTTATTTTGCACTCTACGAATTGAAAAAATCCAAAAATTACCATAACACGTGAACATTTGTTTATGAAAATGAAAAAATTTTTTTGAAACTAACGAATATTAAAATTTAGGCGAAAACCGACTTAAAATCCTAATCAGCAATTATTTCCCTTTTTCAAGATTATAGGGCGTATATCTCTGAATTGAATCCTTTTTCATTTCCACTGAGAGAATGATAATATAATTATAGTAGTTTTGGTTATATCGGTTGTTTTGTTAATTAATAAAAATAGAAAATACCAGCCTGAACAAGTTGGACAACACATTCCAGGAGCGGGTGGCAATGGATTTAAACATGGAGTATAGCACTGCATTGTTGATTCCGTTACAATCCCTGCTTCGCATCTCATCACCTTGCAAGGATCACTCGAATCAATCCATTCGGTATGACTGGCATAGTGGATTCCCTTGTAGACACAACCTTAAACAATATTATTGTGAAAAACACTGCATAAATAACTCATTTAACTAACTGTAAGGGACTGACAAGTACTCACGTAGTGACGTAAGTCATACCTAGAGTAATACCTATATGAAAATTAAACTACAATATAAGGACGAAACAGTTTGTTTGAAATATTAGAGTTTTGATAATGGAGTAACTGGAAAGATTATACATATCTTCCCAACAATAAACGCTTTCCTGAATGTGTATTTCTTGAAAAGGATGTTATAATGTAAGAAAAACACAAACTGGTGGTTCTACACTTTTATTAGATACGTTCTTGCAATAATTGTTGCGAGTTATTCCAGCAAAAACAGAAAGAAACCAGTTTCTGTACGAACTTTCCATGAATGACTGAATAAGTTGACACAATTGTTAGAAATTATTTAATAAAAGTATCTCTGCATTGGAATGTTTTACAATTAGCCTACTCGAAAACACTTTAACGCCATCCAATTGATACCAAATTAACACTAACACAAAAAAAATTGTGGCTACTAACCCAACTTTAAGTTGTGGGAATACCAGTATTTCGCTGCACGAGTTCTATAATATTTTCCGATCAGAAAATGTTATGAATCTTAAAGGTAGATAATCGAAAAAAATTTATGTGTAGGTACTAAAATAATAAGAATGAACCTCTTCATGTCATTTAATTACAAGCATTTTCCTCGATTGTAATGCGTATAAAAATTTAAAAAAATAGCTATGCAAAAGCTAGAGTGAGTATTGCAAAAAAAAATTTTGTTTTCGAAACAGACCATAGCCGAGATTCTGTTTTTATTAATGTTAGCCAGATTTGAAGCAATTTTAAAAAATCTTAAAGATAAAATAAAGTGCATAAGTACATAGAGAACTTATGAGAACTTTAATTAGTGATTATCGTTAGACTTACAGCAATATCATCCATAAAAACGTCTCCTATAAACAATTAAAAAAAAGGATTGAAAATGATATGGTACTCATACAACGATTTGTCTATTAAAAATTGCTGTCATTACATTTAAAATACTCAATTGGCAAAGCCTAAATCAGGAAATACTCAAGGCGTGCTAATAATAAAAAATATTCAGATATTGATGGAGATCAACTCAAGAAACGATGTAATTCTAAGGAACAAGCTTTGAATGAATCTTTTTCAGAGCCAGTTTACACAAATATTATAAAGAGGAAAGTTTGTCAGTTTGGATATAGGAGGTAGTCTCCGAAACTACTCATCCGAATTCAAAAATTCTTTCATCAATATTTAGAATGGACCTTAAGAGTGTATATAGTAGACTGTATCACAGCTACTTCTATCTAATAAGCCGTGAAATAGGAAATAACAAGATAGCGAGCGGATTTATCAGGAGGTACGAACGTACGAATACGACGCATCTACAGTGGTACTTCCACGCGCTTATGCGGTGTGAAAATCTGATGTTTCTTAAAACTGTTTGTTGGTTTTAAATTTAATTTAAAATTTAAGTGGATAAGGTGATTATATGTTTAGTGTTAATGCAGTTCCTCGTATCTAGTAATAACGATCTTTTTCTAAGTAGTTTTTAGTAGCAGTAGGTTTTAATCTATAAATTGCGATTGCACGTGTAAAAATGTCGGGTACTTGTTATGTTCCTGGATGTCAATCTAATTATAATAGTACATTGAAAACAAGAGGAATATTAGTTACAGCTTTTAGTTTTCCTAGTTTTAAAGTAAAAATGGTTAAAAGCAATTCCGCAAAGAAACTTTGTGTCTATTAAAGCATTCAATTGCATGCATTTACATTTTGAGGACAGCGACATTAAGACTGATAAACATCTTCAAAGTACCGATTTCGCAGAATTTCCATACGGCCAAAATTGAAATTAAGTTCCTTTCATACGTTGCATTTTCCTAAATTTTCTTTATTTAGTAACGATGACTTAAAGAATAATTTTGATTACTAGGTTAATATTTAAAAAAAAAAAATTAAATTTCAAACTTGTGATCTGTTAAAGTAGCAAATTCAAAAATTTATTTTTATAGCAAAAGGTACAGTTGTAAAATTATTAATAGATGAAATTTCTATCTCAGAAATTACCTTATAGAAATACAAAAATAATGGTTGCAGCTTCCAATGAAAGTAATTTAGCTAAAAGCAGTTCTGGTGATTTGTTCTCCATTTGACAATTTTTGTGAAATTGTTAATAAGTGTTCAAAACATTATACATACATAAAATTATACACAATATACCAACTACTTTTTACTATTTCTCGTGTATTTTACGCTGTAAAAAGTGATAAATTATTTATATACAAAATTTGTAGAGTCTAATAGTGTTCGCAAAGAAGTCCTCAACGACATATGTATATGCTAAGGTTAATCCACAAATTGATAAAATATTACTCTTTATTGTCACAAGCTGAATTGGATACGGACGAAGCCGCGACCACAGCCAGTGTTGAATAAATTTCCCTGGCTGAGTGACCGAAATGTACATAGGTATGACTATTTCTATTTAATTTATTTTAAATTGTTAAAAATATGTACATTCAATTATATCCCTTAACGATAAAATTCTATGCGATTGTCCAGGTATTGCTCATGTCGATATACGATCAATCAAAATACCGAATTGAGTGGTAAAACATTTTAAAACGTGTTAATAAAAACAAAAAAAAATATTAATACAAGTATAAATTAATGAAGCACTTAATTGTCAAAGTAATGAAACCAGATGGCGCTATCAAGAACTTGATAGATATTAATAGGTTTTATAAAAGTGACTTCGATAGATATATAAAAATATTTATATTTGGAAATAAAGCAATTAGATTTGTGAATGATTTTGTCACAGTGTTACAGACAGCTCAGGAAACCATTAAGTGTTTTGAATTCTTCAAAATTAATTAGTCTTGTAATGATTAGTTAGTTGCTAATTTTAACCTTTGAAGGTACAGCCGAAGTAAATTTACTTTTAGAATAGTATGAACGAAATAGATTTAGCTATTTTTGTTGCTATGTTATTAATATTAATAGCCAATTTTTTACATGCCACTCCTGTTGAGTCACAGTTGGTATCTAAATTAGATGAAATAAAGTACACCTTTTGGAAGTATACCATCAATCAAATATTCTTGGTCAATTAAAGTGACTTTTTTCATCTTTATGTACCTCTTAGTTGCTTCTTTTTGTCAACATTGGAATATAACAGCTAGTAGTTAATAGATAGCTTTACGATTAGTAATTATTTGAGATAAAGGATACTTTTGGTACCATTTGTCGAAAGAGACTCCAATCGAATTGTAAACTCTTAGGCAACTACGATTTGAAAGTTGTTAATTATTCTTTATTTACAATTTAACTTAATACCCAAAACAACATTAAAATTGCGAAGAGAGCGTCCGAGACGCCGATTTCCGTGAAAACTCTTTTTATATCTCAGGAAATTTTTAATTAGCTTTTTAGAAATAGAAACCATCCTCTACAGAATGATGCTACACGTCAATTCAATAAAATTTTTACTATCAACTATATTTGTTGATGAAATACTTCAACCGTCTTTCTAATTTCGTTATATATGTAACTTCATTTACTTTCTCTAGCGATGTTCCCTGTTGTAAATTGTCAAGTACCTCGCTTTCTATTTCATCGTCTCTCTCTACATCTTATCTATCTGTCCTTATTTTCTCCTTTATTTATGACTTTTCTGTACTTTCGACCACCATTTCGCCTATCCTTCTCTTGCCGATTACTAATACTTCTGTGCTGTCTTTCTCTATCTCACCACCTTTTCACCCTTAAGTAGCGTGCCATCGGTACCAAGAGGAGAGTACGAAGGTTGCTGNTGCACATAAGTGTGTATCGTACACATACATATGGTTATCCATGAAGAGTTAGAAATGTATATTCCTAAATTTATTAAAAAAAATAAGCATGCTAGAAACGAGACGAAATATAGATTAAGTACGTCCTTGCGAGTGAGCATTTCTCTTTATTGACTAACAGATGTTTGATTATTTAGGCTTTATAATTAGATGCAATTTCAATGTTATGTCTTACGTTGCTTTACTCATTTAAATAATGAATATTGATTATAAATTGAAAAATTGTGACTAGCGTATGCATATTAATTAAATAACTTGTCAAAGATTAAAGAAGAATTAAAACAAATTTAAATTACATCATTTCGAAATAAATTAGAGACTTTCAAAAAGTCTAACGAAAAAGTTGATAATTAGTAAATATTTTTTTTTATACTGACAATAGGTACGTGAGGTATTGGTTGGATATATTATTAGAGTTCTTCCAAAATTAGTCTTCCATGGTTAGTTTCATCAAAGAACATAAATGTATCATCATCATTATCATAAGGTCTTCAGACCTAAGAATGGTTTGACACCCACATCCACTTTTTCCTATCCTGAGCTAATCTGCGCATTCCCTAAGACCATCCCACATCCTTAACTATCTGCGAACAGTAATGTAATTTACGTCTACCTCTACTCGTCTTAACTCCCGTTTCTGCCTCTAATATGCCCCTGACTAGCCATTAATGCCTACCAACATATCTCGTCTATTTTTCGTCAAGTTTCATAGAGCCCTCTTCTCTCCAATTCTTTCTAATACCTCTTCATTTCTAACCTTCTATATCCACGGTATCTTCATCATTCGCGTGTAACACCACATTTCTAACGCTTCTAACACTTACTCTTCCCCCGCGCTCACCGTCCATGTTTCGCACTCGTGCAGTGCCGCGCTCCAAACATACACCTTTAACAATCTTTTCCAAATTGATCGTTCCCGAGCATAGAACTGACATTTTTTATTGACGGCGACTCAACCCTGCGCTATCCTCTGCGTTATATATCTATTACTACTTCCATCTTGACTTCTCTAACTTCCTAGATACCGAAAATTAGTCACTTGTAATTTTTCTTCGTCTCCTACCCTCATATTCGTTCTTTCCCTACTTTTTCTTCCCTTGCATACCAATATTTTTCTTTTACTCTTA